GTATGTACATCCTTAATCTGGTTTTAAATTCTTGACTGTTTTGTTGATGCAGTTGTAGAGAAGTGAACACTGTGAACTTAACAGAGCAAGATAACCCTATATTTCATCAATCAAATCATGTGACTTACCAGTTAACTCAATGACCTCACAGTATCAATACCAATATCAAAGAAAAACATCAGTATCATACTCAGTATCATATCAATTTGGAAAAATGGTTTATTACTGGTCTACAACTGCTTATAAGACCTCTCACTGCCGTCTGTTCAGTCAGCGAGCAGAATCTCATGTCTCCATTGCAGCCAATTAAATGTAAAAAGTTATTCAAACCCCTATTACCAAACAAATTGCTCATCATATCACAGACTTTTCCTACCTCAATATAATGTCGAAGTACATAGTGCACCAGACCATTTTCTGCTAAATTTACAAGTTGCTGATGAAATCTCCAAAAGGATCCTGATCCTATCTTTCCATATAACACAACAGCTATGGAGTTGTTTTCAGATTTAGGATAGTGGTGATCAAATTCAAAACTCTGCACCAAGGGTCTATATTCATTAAGAAGAAAAGACAACAACAAAATGTTTGACTAAAAATATTTAAAAATTACCAATAACAGAATACAATATATATGAAATTTAATTAAAAGAGCAATGTTCTTTCACCGGAAAGCCAATTTGTTTTTCTCATGCATCTGAAACTTGAGCATTAGAACTAGAAACATACATGTTTTCTGCTTGTTTGATGAGAGAAACAGCTTCTGTAATGTCACATATTGTGCTACTGCCAAGCTGAACAAAAGCCTCACAGTCTGGTGCTGGGAGATCATGGGCAACCTGATGAAAGAATGAAAAATATACCAAATAAAAATGTTAGGCTCAAATGCCTGAGTGTAGATATGCACACTGCAGAGTCATAACAACCCATGGTACTAACAGCTTTGTAATATGAGTTTTGGATTACAAACTAAGTTTCAAAAACCTAAATACTCAACAGCAAAGAAAATGACAAACTATTCAGCAGACCTTTTTGAAATCTCACCTTATTGAACAGTTCCACCCTGGGGGAATAATACCTCAGTGACAATGAGAATTGCAAGAAATTTAAACCTATCGGAGCTAGCAACTGGCCTGCAGTTTTTAAAACATGTTTATATTCATCTGAAATCAAAATAGAGTAAAACACAACGTTAAAAACTTATTCAACACTGTGGATAACAGCTCAAAAACCATCTTTTCACTGTTTACACCCCTTCAGTGACTCACATCTAATTTCTCCTTATAGTATATCACCACTGAATCAAACATTGAGTCGTGAGAATAAAGGAAATGATCCCCAACCTATAAAGTTCTTGATTATTAAAATTCTCCTTGTCAGTACTATAGGAAATGTATAGAGAATGGTATAGAGAAACTGTGTGTTGATGTTATAGCAAAAAGTGTTAAGTAACAACCAGGTGCCAGTTGTTCAAAGGATGGGAAATGCTATCCACTGAACAAATCTCTATCTGGTGGATAGCATATAGTATATTTTGTTCGCACTTACCCTATGAATAGCAATTTATCCATTAGATAGAGTTATCCAACCTTTGAAAAACTAGAGCCAGGCCTTTTAAACCTTTAACTCTCAGATCAAATTTATAATTCTCCTTACTGTCAACCATACAATTCTTATAATGTTAGTTCAGAGAATTTAGTATTGGATCAACTAATTATCCCCAAATTGATAATTTTCTTTATTCTTGTTACTTCTCTGGTTGATATTGTATTGATATTGTAAGGAGAAATTCTGTCTTGGTCACTCATGGGAGTTAAAAGGTTACTGCATGATTAAGTCAATGAAATAACATCAACTGTTGAACTGAAAAATTAGGAATCTTATTCTTTTGTTATCATGACATTGATTGTAGCTCCTTGGTATACTTCACACAATAATTACACCAAAAGAAAATAATCATTCATTACCTAAATCATGACTGAATGATTTATCTTGACATGAATCCACAAACTTCCAAAATTTTTCATTACTCTCTGCTGCTAAATATTCACTGAAATTAAAAAAAAAACATCTTATTCCCAGGGTGAGCTGTGTTTCAGTACCTATCACTCTTATCCAAAGAGTGAAGGACAATTTTCCAAAATTTCTTGAATATTCAGAAATGTGCAGTTGTCTGCAGAGGAGCCTTTTGATCCTCTTGTGTCACCTTCTTTGTATCATGGTCTGGTTATTCAAAATTTCTTATCATTATATTCTTGTATTATATTCATTCAGCTAAAACACAAACAAAAAGTGAAAACTAACTAAGAAAGTAGCAATACTATTACAAAAGGGTAATTTGATATTATCAACTGAGTTGATATTAAAAATGTAATTTGGCCACCGTAAAGGGTTTCAAAGCTGACATTTTGAGCATTAGCCCTTGATCAGAGCAAAGCCCTTCCTTCTCACTCTGACGAAGGGTTAACACTCGAAAGTCAGCCTTGTAACCCTTTATTGTGGCCAATTTACGTTATCACCCTAAATTACCCTGTTCTACTCTCCCACTGAAGCAGCAACACAGTTTCCTTAGAAACTTACCCCCTAAACACTATTATAAGACTGAGTACATCTGAACCCTTTAAACAACTTTCAAATAAATGTGTGTAACACTACTTTAGATAATAAAATTTAGCACCAATACAATTCTAAATTGACATGAAGTGAAAGAATAGTGTAAAGTTCTGAGAGAATAAGCTACATAGCAGCTAAATGTCTTAGTATAAATTAGCCCAGGCTGGTGATATTTAGCCAGAGCATTCTATGTAGCTGTAGAAGAGCTCTCATATCTCCAGTCTTAGGAATATCCTGGGAGTTATGCTGTTTTTTATTTGCTTTTATTCTGATTGATTTTGAAATTAACCCTGTTCTCAACCAACCTTGCTTCAAGCAGAAGAGGTGTCGATCCCCATCTTGCATCTAGAGAGGCTATTATTGATTTAGAGCTACTTGATTTGCAAAAGGATTGGTGGACTAACGAAAGAAGGGTAAACAAAGTGGCCACCGTAGCACATATTACCTGCAGAAAGAGTAAAGGAGTTTTAAATCATCTGACGTAGAAAGAGCATACAGTCGGAAACTTCCGCTAATTTGTTGAACAATTTCGTTGGCGATTATAAATTATCCTCACTGCAATACGTGCATTGATTATGTCCGAAAAGTTCCCATAAAAAAATCAAATTTGGGCGGAATGTGCGACATAATATAAAAAAATCAAAGGTTACATCAATGTACATGTACGTTAGTACGTATTACGTGAATCTTAATTTAAAGCAGCACATTTTTCAATCAATTTCAAACAAATAAAATACCACTTAAAGAAACACAGCTTCATTTAAGATGAGTGTTGGAAAACTTAGGCTGCAAGGTTCAGGTTAAAAAAAATGAGCACAAATCACCGAAAATCTGACTGGCAATAAAGCTTACGCTAGCCGGTCTTCTTTCATTACGAACTGATCATGAATAACTGACATTTGTTGAAGAGTTTTAAAAAACAGATCATTTAACCAATATTACTAAACATAATCATATAAAATACAAGCGGTAAACAATGTATTCATCCAATCTTATATGTCAGGATTAAGCCTTCAACAAAGAAAGAAATCAATACATTTCCTACCCGTGCGTTGCTCAGACACTTTTTGGCCGCCATCTTGGAAAGAAAGCCAATGCAGTGTAACCACGTCGCTGGCGTTAATTTTATGTGGGGGAGTGGGAGAAAGTTTCTTTCCAACGTACTTGATGATGAGGCCAGACGATTTCTGTCCCATTGAGCTCATTCCCATTCCTGATATCCCACTTATCTCTCATTTACCATTTACCATCCATTCACTCCCACTAATCCATGGGCCTGGACTTCCTCACAATGACCTTTCGGTACCATTCATGATGGAAGGGGCGGGGGGGGGGAGTAATACTGACGTGAATTTTTTTTAAAACAAAACTTACTCTAGTTTAGTTATTTTGTATAATAGCAGTGCTTAATGGGTAGCTAAACAGGGAATATCACAGGAAATAAACAATAAGAGAGTACATTCCTTCCCTCGTCCCACAGACCGAGAAAGCCTGACACAGTCTACTTTTAGAAGGATTTTAAAAGACACATTCCGGATGATAGATCGTGCTAACCAATCAAAATTATTTGCTTGATTGCTTTAATTAACTGTCATTCCGAGCCCAAGTGTTTTCAAATGACAGTGAACAGAGATTTCTAAGTTCTTCTCCTTAAATGTATCGTTAACAGATCAAGGTAATTGTTTTAATCCGTCTTTGAGGTTCACAGGTACGACAAGGGGTAGACAATTAATACTGCTAAAGGTAAATCTACCTTTAAAGTGGCTTATATCTTTTCTCTCCTTTATATTAGTTCTGCGATGCTTTATAACCCGATGGTGACGCACCAATATGGATGAATTTGAATGCCCTTCAAACGGCTTTGTTGTGCCACAAAAGAAGTTTCCTTATATGTTTCTTTCAAGTTTGTCCAGTGACATATCTTAGTTCATAGGCAGTGGTGAGATTAAAACAAAGACCATTCGTTTTCAAAATATTTGTGTTAACCCTTTAATAAGCATCTTTGTTTACATGTGAAAAGTGGACAAATTGAATATTCATGCATAAATGCAAATTTAAAGATCACGTAATCTTCTGTTTTGAGAGCATTCAGCAAAATAATGGCATTTATTGGTATTAATCAGTCAGTTGGGGAATAAAAGTTTCGATCATCTTTGCTAAAGATGATTTTCGGCCTGTAAAAGAGTATTTGTAAGAGTAATTTGCATATTCGTGAAGTTTATTATGTTGCAAAAATTTTGTAGTGTCGAGTTTCCAAATCCGTTTAACTTTTATTTCCTTGTGTGTTCCATTTTTCGTAATAGAGGACATCGAATCACCGATGACAAGTCGTCTGCCGCCTATCAATCCGAATTATTGTCTGTACTACGTTGATTGTCCGACTTAAATATGGAAGCTCCTTTCGACGAGAAAATAAATGTTGTATACCTCGACGAAAGTCGCAGAACTCCTGTGCATCGTGCTGCTCTGGATGGTAAGCACGAACAGGTGGAAGAAAAAGTACGAGTCGCCTCTGGACTGGATGACCAAGATGAACAAGAAAGGACCCCACTGCATCATGCGACCGAACACGGACACAGGTACCTTTGTCTGGTTTATCTCAAAGAGATTTAAGGTTAAGTGTCATAATGTGAAACGTATGATTCCGAACAAATGCCACAGCTGGCAGAGCCAAACACAGTTTTCGTCCCCTTTGATTCTGATCAGCGAAAATAATACTGTAAAATCTACAGGTTGCAGTGGTTGCGTAGTTGTTAACAAGAGGGCCTTGATGGGGTGTAGCTTTTACGGCTAACGCTTAAAAATATTGGCCAATCTATGGCTAACGGTTAAATTTTTACTCTTCGCGGCTAATTCCATTTGGCCGATTGGCGGTCAATGGTTACCGCCATTGAGACCCTATTTATAAAATCAAACGGTAGAATTCTCAAAAAGTTTTAAATTTAGCGATTTTAAAAGGGAAGTATAAGAATTGACAACTGAGGTAAATGAAAGGGCTACACTGGAAAAAATAAAGTAAGTTCATTGCTTTCTGTTGTATGAGAAACGGTGGCCAAAGGGTTGAAGTTCTGGGTTCTATCCTTGGCCTGGTTGCTGTGTTGTGTTCCAGTACAAGACACTCGCATCTCCCACAGCGCCTTTCTCCAACAAAAGTTATATATGGGTACCGTTGAACTGTCAGAGAAACCTGACAAAACGTTATAGGGGTCAAGGGGGGAGGGGGTTAGCCCGAGATGGGCTATCATACCCTTCTGGGGGTATAGCCAATACTTGTGCTTGCTCTATGCTACGGCTGCCACGATAAGTTTCGACTCTCAGGGCACCAAACATGAGAGCAGATTTCACCCTTATTATTCCAAAGGGATAACTAATGTTACAAGTTCCCTTTTTTCACGAGGAATTGAATTTGAGACCATTAGTCTTTAATCCACCATTGCAACTGTTCGGTTGCGTTTTCTCTTGGAAAAATGAAAATAAGATTAAACATTGAACCCACACAAAGCGTAGATGTTTGAGTTTTCGTTTTCTACATGCAGGAAAGTTTGCCACACTCTGTTACAACATGGCGCTAACTCTTCTATTAAGGACAGAGAACACTGGACACCACTAATGAGTGCATCAGACCTGGGCAAGGAACAGTCGTGCCAAGATATACTCACTGTTAATCCCGAGACTGATGACGTGAACATGGATGGAGAAACAGCATTGCATATTGCGTGTAGGAGAGGACATGTGGGTGTTGTCAACCTGCTAATGGATTACGGGGCAAGTTTGAATGTTTGTAACAAAGATGGTGTAACGTGTTTTGAGACAGCCGCCAGGGCAGGAAGGGGCGAAGTTGTGTTTGCAATGATAAAGCATAAAAGGTATGAACGGTTACTCCAGACTGAGCTGTTATCTACCAGTTAAACTCAAAGTTTTAATGGCAGGAAGTGAGAGACTCGACTTGCACATGACAGCCGAAAAGTAAGAGTACAGAAGAGCGTAAGTAAAGTTGGGCAAGCTGGGCTATGAAAACAACGGTCTCCTCTTCGTTTTGGCGCTACGATTAAGACGTTTTTCTTGCTTTATATTTTAAGATAGCTAAAAATGGTTAAGTAAATTTTCAAAACCAAGTCTTAGATGGAACGTAGCTTTAATGCCATTCTTTCCTCTGTTTTCTTGTATCAATGGAAATTTTAGACTCTTTCTCAAATAACAGTCGTAATCATTTTTCTGACACATAAGGTCACTTCAGCAGAGCCAAAGCCTCTTAGAAACACCCTTATGTTTAACCTTATGTAAGTTTCACCCCAAGCTCAGTTCGGTTCCCCCTTTTTTTTTAATTGAATTGCAAAGCTTTAATAAAAATCTCAGATAAATAACACCAGGATCTCCTGCACTTTGTTATAGCTGGAGATTTTTTGATACGTTTTGTTAAGGAAACACACGAAAAGTGTGTTAGTGTCCATTCATTGATAATTAGTATTTTAAGATAAACGTCTTCATGAGCCACCTTGAGCTTCCTTCCTCGGACAACCTAAAGAAAATCTGTCTAGGTTAAGACACAATTTCAAGATTTGTTAGACTTAGGGGTCAAATGATTGATTGAGTTTGGTCGGGCGGACGGGTAGATATTTGATTCTGACTCTGTTTTATTGCTTCTGAACAGATGGATGGAAATAATGGAACACAAGGATAAGAAGGGCCTTACCCCCATGAAGCTTCTCATAAAACACTTCCCAGAGAGTGCACAGCTGGTCATGGATTACTGCATTGATCGATCAGAGACAGAAAGTTCCGATGATCCAAATTTTACCGTTACTTGCAACCTCCGTTTCCTAGACCCCAGTCCTACTCACACTACTTGCCAGAGAGGAAGCCGTTTCTTTGGACCGAGCACCATGGTGAAACACGAGCGTAGAGAATTACTCGATCATCCTTTGACACAGGTCTTGCTGAATAAGAAGTGGTCTTCTTTCGGGCGCTTGGTGTTCTACTTTAACTTTATGTTCTATTTTGTCTTTGTTGTCATGATTACAGCTTTCTTAATCCGATTCATGCAGAACGGTGACAAAGAATTGGGAGATTATTTTATTTATATATATCCAATAGCATTTTTACTTATAGGCGTCCAGTTCACCAAGGAAGTTATTGCAATACTTGTCCAGAGGCTTCAGTATTTCACCACTTTAAGCAATCTCACTGAATGGTTACTCTACAGTACGACGACTTCATTCATGGTGTCACTTTTCATTTTCGATCTGGTATCTTCGTTTTGCCGCCTCGAGAAGTGTGATACTGTTTACCCACAATTCATCTGGGTGTTGGGTGCCATTTCGATTTTCCTTTGCTATGCGAACCTAGTCTTGGTTCTTCGTCGGTTGAGTCTGGTTGGAATCTATGTCACCATGTTTATAGAGGTCACTAAGTCGGTTTTAAAAGTACTTCTGATCTTCTTTGTCTTGTTCTTTGGGTTCTCCATGGTGTTCTACGTCCTCTTTAAATCAGAGGTAAGATGAAATAAGAGATAAGTGTGTATGTGAGTAAATTTGCTTCTGTTTGTGATTTATGTGAGTTTTTTCCCTTTTTTATCATGCTCGTAATTTAAAACCGAAAGTAAAAATATTCCTCATCCTGTATCTTTTCGCGCCGTTTATTGACTCGCTCAATAGCAACAAGCCTGACAGATTTGGTTACAGTAATTTTCAGTGCGCTTTGACGACATATAAAGCTCGCTCGGTCTCGTCAAGGGTATCTTGGAATCATGACTCAACTAAAATCGCTGCATTTGTAGTAAACGAAATATACAGTAATAGTAAACAATTAACAACAGTCCATGAAATTGTCCGGGTTTGCCATAAGGATCGATTCCCTTCAGTAATACGCTTATGGAAAAGGAATGAGCATTGGCTAAAGCACTGAGAGTCTCTCGTACTTCCTCCACAGGAGTCGGTATTTAAGCATCTTGGATTTGCCTTACTGAAGGTGACAGTGATGACAATTGGAGAGGTTGACTTTGAAGGAAGATTCATGCGTTCCCAGAATATCACAAACGAGCCGACGTCTTCTCAGATAGCTTCTTTCGTTTTCCTCGGCTTGTTCTTGATTTTAATGACAATTGTACTGATGAACCTGCTGGTATGCATTAAGATAAGAAACTTTTCTGTAACTTTTAATAGTACTAGTAGGATGCATAAGTGTAAATCAACCAGTGTTCTATCACAAACGCAGTAGTCTTATTGGCTTCGCTACGCACTATCTATTTGACATATGGATCTCATGTTAACATGTGTCTATTCAGTCTGATATATTAACCTTTATATAATAAGCTCAGTTATGCACGCATTCTGATTGGTTCTCACTTATGATCTATTGGAGGACAGACGTATAGATGACTTCATCATTAAAACTTTTTTCCGTATATTTTAATTCTTTATTATATAAAACAAATAGATTCCAAGTTGCCGTGCGTCTGTTCAGTAACAGATCACAGAGGACGTCAAAATGTGGTAAGAATTTTTTGACGTCCTCTGTGATCCGTTACTGAACAGACGCACGGCAACTTGGAATCTATTTGTTAATTAACCGCTAAGAGTGACTAGCATCTAATTTCTCCTTACAATATCACCACTCAATCACACATTGACGTCATGAGAATAAAGGAAATAATCACCGACTAAAGAAACTCTTGATTGTTAGACAAATTCTCCTTGTCAGCACCTTAGTTAATGTACAGAGAACTGTATGGAGAATATGAATACTGATGTCAGAGTGTAGAGGGTTAAGCTGAATTATGCGCGCATTTTGTCTGCTTCTTACTTACGATGTATCGGTAGATATACATCCATACATGACTTCACCATTGACAATTTTTTTCTTTATCGTATAAAACAAATAGATTCTATGTAGGCATGGGTCTGTTCAGTAACAGATCACAAAAGACCTCAAAATAAAGAAACAATGTCAGTGACACGCTCGGCTGTGCCTCATGTGCCACTTTTTGTCCTTACCACATTTTGACCTTATCTATGATCTATTACTGAACAGACGCTCGGCAACATAGAAACTTCCTGTGGAATACACCACAAATAACGTCAATTGTAGTTGAAACAAAAAATTGGAACACGGGACGCAACCGAGTGTGTCACCGACTCAAAATTTGTATTATCAAGACGCTTCCAGCGAATAAATCAAACTTAATGCTATCATTTGTAGGACGTTGATCACGGTTGCATGTTTCACCTACAGGTGGGTCTTGCCGTGGGTGATATCGACGCAATCCGCCGCAATGCTGCGTTTAAAAGAATGGCTATGCAGGTCATGTATATCGCCAAGGTCGAAAACAGCTTCCCGAGGTGCATCTCGCGGCGTTTTCGCCATCCAGAAGTAACTTTGCAGCCAAATCGTCGAACTCTGAGGAAGAGGTATGCCGTCAGTACCATTCTGATTAAAAGTCATCCGTTAATCTCAAAATGTCAGAAAAATTCTAAAAAGCAGCTTTACAACGACTCTGTCAATGTCTACTTTTCTTTAATATCTTTACCATTCATTATCCAGTCAACAGTCAACGAGAAAACTGAGCAGTTAGAAGTTGTTATTTTGATCTAACACTACATTCTCGTCACTGATTGACAGGAAAATTTATAGCAACTTGAGGGGAGAAGTAACAATCACATCTTGGGAGTCAAATTAAGGGTTAAAATGTTCACTTCACAAAATTATTTCTTTGTCTTCGATATTCAGGTTGATGCTTCTTCTTGGAATGAAGACATCTTCGGGCTTGGACTTTACTCCTCGCGCCAAAGAAGAACCGTCCCCCGGTGTAGTTTTGGATTATACTGAGATTAAGAAAAAGCTTGACCTTACTGAGAAACGCGTGGAAACATTGGTTGATACGATGGAGGCGCAAAACGCTCTGCTCAGAGAATTAGTAAAAAAGATTGATCCTGGGACCAAGATGAACGAGAAGAGCATGGAAATGGAAGGACCGACTGTGGAACAGGAGTATGGGAGCACATCAGCTTCAGGAGAGAAATGGATCCTTGACGACCAGCAGCCACATGAGATTAAAACACAACCACACTTGTATAATTGTGGAAAGATTACTAACGTTTAGTTATATTGAGCAGTGAAATACTATCCTATACTTGTACCAGTGTCAGGTGTGAACACAGCGTTTTCAATCACGCGGAGAGCGGCTATGCAGATGTATAGAAAGAAAGAAAGAAATATCTGCAACGTGGGTGCGAGTGTGCGCTGGTTTATCCAAATAAGAATGAGTATGGTGAGTTGTTATGACTGGTGACTGGTCCTACCCATTTGCAGGGTCGATGCAATGCCGGAACAAGAATGTTCGAGAAGAATGGTTTCAGAGACAGAAAAATTCTCTGTCATATGTGAAAGAGGATTCACTTCCATTTATGCGTTCTTTTCAAATTTCATGTCGCCGTTGATAGAAGCAATTGATGTTAATGATAATGCATGCGAACATTTTGGGCATGCTTATATTTGCACTAATGTAGCACTATCAAACAGCCCCAAAGATTTATCGATTTCATAAATTCCAACTTTTACTCTCTCTCCCGATTTGCTTGATAAATTTAGGCGACAAATTTTAGAATTGGTCGCGCAAAACAGAAGTATGGTTTCCCTGCACTAACTAGTAGGGGCTTGATTAATGCAGAATAATTATTGAAGCTTAAATCACTGTCATCTTTTCTCCTGCTACACGTCAACCTGTTCAATGGAAAAAAATCCTCCTAAAAATAAACGTTTTATTGTAAAGCGCATTAGAGCTTTAGAATAGGATTATTATTATTATTATTATCCATATTGAAAACACTTCCGTGAACCCTTTAATAAGCATCTTTGTTTACGTGTGAAAAGTGGACAAATTGAATAATCATGCCTAACTACAAGTTTAAAGATCACGTGATCTTCTGTTTTGAGAGCATTCAGCAAAATAATTGCATTTATTGGTACTAATCAGTCAGTTGGGGAATAAAAGTTTCGATCATCTTTGCTAAAGATGATCTTTGGCCTGTAAAATGGTATCTCGTTTGAATATGAAAACTTGAAATTTGCATATTGGTGAAATCTATTATGTTGCAAAAATTTGGTTGCGTTGAGTTTTCGAATCCAATTAACTTTGATTATTATTATTATTTCCGTGAGATCCACATATCCTGCACTTGTTACTGCGTGTTCTATATCTAAAAAACACTTTTTCCGAATCCGTTTAACTTTGATTATTCTCGTTTCCTTGTGTGCTCTATTTTTTCGTGATAGAGGACATTGAATCACCGATGACAAGTCGTCTGCCGCCTATGAATTCGAATTAATGTCTGTACTACGTTGATTGTCCGACTTAAGTATGGAAGCTTCTTTTGACCAGAAAATAAATGTTGTATACCTCGACGAAAGTCGCAGAACTCCTGTGCATTGTGCTGCTCTGGATGGTAAGCACGAACAGGTGGAAGAAAAAGTACGAGTCGCCTCTGGACTGGATGACCAAGATGAACAAGAAAGGACCCCACTGCATCATGCGACCGAACACGGACACAGGTACCTTTGCCCGGTTTATCTCAAAGAGATTTATGGTTAAGTGTCATAATGTGAAACGTATGATTCCGAACAAATGCCACAGTTGGTGGAGCCAAACACAGTTTTCGTCCCCTTTGATTCTGATCAGCGAAAATAATACTTTCTGTAAAATCTACAAGTTGCAATGGATGCGTAGTTATTAACAAGAGGGTCTTGATGGGGTGTAGCTTTTACGGCTAACGCTTAAAAATACTTAGCCAATCTATGGCTAACGGTTAATATCTTTCCAATGTGGTCGACCAATGGTTACCGCCATTGAGACCCTATTTATAAAATCAAACTGTAGAATTCTTAAAAAGTTTTGAATTTGAAGATTTTGAAAGAATGAATCATTGAAAAAGTGAAGTATAAGAATTGACACCAACTGAAGTAAATGAAAGGGCTACACTGGAAAAATAAAGTAAGTTCATTGCTTTCTGTTGTATGAGAAACGGCGGCCAAAGGGTTGACGCGCTGGGTTCTATCCTTGGCCTGGTTGCTGTGTTGTGTTCCAGTACAAGACATCTCCCACAGGGCCTAAGGGATCAAGGGGGGGAGGGGGGAGGGGAGTAGCCCAGGATGGGCTATCATACCCTTCTGGGGGTACAACCAATACTTGTGGTTGCTCTATGCCACGGAAGCTACGGTAAGTTTCGACTCTCTAAGCACCAAACATAAGAGCAGATTTTATCTTAATATTCCAAAGGGATAACTAATATTACAAGTTCCCTTCTTTCACGAGGAATTGAATTTTAGACCATTAGTCTTGAATCCAGCATTGCAACTCTTCGGTTGCGTTGCCTCCTGGAAAGATGATTATAAGATTAAACATTGAACTAACACAAAGCGTAGATGTTTGAGTTTTCGTTTTCTACATGCAGGAAAGTTTGCCACACTCTGTTACAACATGGCGCTAACTCTTCTTTCAAAAACAGAGAACACTGGACACCACTTATGAGTGCGGCAGACCTGGGCAAGGAACAGTCGTGCCAAGATATACTCACTGTTAATCCACAGACTGATGACGTGAACATGGATGGAGAAACAGCATTGCATATTGCGTGTAGGAGAGGACATGTGGGCGTTGTCAACCTGCTAATGGACCACGGGGCAAGTTTGAATGTTTGTAACAAAGATGGTGTAACGTGTTTTGAGGCAGCCGCCAAGGCAGGAAAGAGCGAAGTTGTGTTTGTAATGATAAAGCATAAAAGGTATGAAAAGTTACCCCAGATTGAACTGGTATCTACCATTTATACTCAAAGTTTTAATGGCAGGAAGTAGGAGACTCGACCTGCACGTGACGGCCGAAAAGCAAGAGTATAGAAGAGCATTACGAAAGTTGGGCAAGCTGGGCGATGAAAACAACGGTCTCCTCTTCGTTTTGGCGCTACGATTAAGGCGTTTTCCTTGCTTTTAAGATAGCTAAAAATGGTAAAATAAATTTTCAAAACCAAGCCTTAGATGGAACTTAGCTTTAGTGCCATTCTTTCCTCTGTTTTCTCGTATCCATGGAAATTCTCGACTCTTTCTCAAAAAGCAGTCGTGATCATTATTCTGACACCAAAGGTCACTTCAGCAGAGCCAAAGCCTCTCAGAAACACCCTTATGTTTAACCTTATGTAAGCTTCACCCAAAACTTAGTTCGGTTCCCCCTTTTTAACTCGTGAATTGCGCGCATGCGCAAGAGCGAGTTGTAGATACGATGTGGGCAATAGCACTCGCTCGCTCGCTCGCACGCTCGATTGGTCGATTCCTGTAAACTTTTTTTCGATTTTAGGCTTTTAAATGCATTTGATAGTTTTTGGCGAGCAATAAACAAACGAAATGGCGACCTTTGTTGCTAAGAATAGTGGTGGGGTGAAAAAGAAGCCAATGATAACCTTAAAAGAGTTTTTTTTTCCGTTTTAGTTTCAACAAGCGGCGCAAGCGACTGGCAGGCATGCAAGGATTCACACTGAAATAACAGAACAACCTTCGTTTTCCATAAAATTGTAATTTACAATCCTTGAACTTGTAAACAATCCGAAGATTCATTGAAAATATCACTTACTGCGAAGCGCTCGGAGTTTACAGATGTTCAAAAGCTTCTTCTGTTATGGCGTGATTGAGGACAAAATCAATCATTACGTTTCGTATCGTGTGTTTTTCCTGTGTGAAGCAACAAAAGATGCCAGCGACAGACGAAATTACAAGTTAACACGAAAATCAAATAACACCTAAACAAACAATTTCAGTAACCGATTTTCAGTGAATTTTTAAAGAACAATTTTCTTTTAAGTTTCAAGACAATTTGAAGATTCAAAATACATATTACGTACTAAGATGCGAAAGTTATATACTACAAAATTGATAAATAGGCCTGAAATGAAATTCTATCTTGTTATTGATTATACGTTGCCTTGCACGTGACTTAAATCTACCTAGGCGGAGATCCAAAATGACGGTGGCAGTCTTGGCTTAGTTATATCGCTCAAAACTCGTTCCCGTTTGTCTCATTTGATAAAGAGGGAATCGTTAATGTTATCAATAAGACAGTATTGCCTTGATTTTCTAATATTTACAATGACAGACAGTAAATTTCACTTTTCACCCACATTCACTTCCAACCTTTTCTTTTGAACCACAAACAAAAATGATATACGTTTAAAACACGACATCATCCACCTTGTCAAATGTAATAGCATGATCATTTCAATTGTAATGCCTTCTTATCCCAAAGTTACTTTGTTTCTTTGCTACATTAGCGAGCACTGAACTACTGCTCGTACTCTAGATATGACAATCAACCACAAAATTCCCTAAACCAGATAACATTAAACATAATCCAAAAAATCATGTGTCAATTCACGAGTTTGCTCACAGAGCACTTTGATTCTCAATCGAATTGTCAAGCTTTAATAAAAACCTCAGATAAATACCACCCAGGATCTCCTGCACTTTGTTATAGCTGGAGATTTTTTGATACGTTTTGTTAGGGAAACACACGAAAAGTGTGTTAGCGTCCATTCATTAATAATTAGTATTTTGAGATAAACGGATAAACGTCTTCATGAGCCATCTTGAGCTTCCTTCCTCGGATAACCGAAAGAAAATCTGTTTAGGTTAAGATACAATCTCAAGATTTGTTAGACACAGGGGTCAATGATTGATTGAGCTTGGTCGGGCGGATCGGGAAATATTTGACTCTGACTCTGTTTTATTGCTTCTGAACAGATGGATGGAAATAATGGAACACAAGGATAAGAAGGGCCTTACCCCCATGAAGCTTCTCATAAAACACTTCCCAGAGAGTGCACAGCTGGTCATGGATTACTGCATTGATCGATCAGAGATAGAAAGTTCCAGTGATCCAAATTTTACCATTACTTGCAACCTCCGTTTCCTAGACCCCGGACCTACTAACACTATTTGCCAGAGAGGAAGCCATTTCTTTGGACCGAGCACCATGGTGAAACACGAACGTAAAGAATTACTCGATCATCCTTTGACACAGGTCTTGCTGAATAAGAAGTGGTCTTCTTTCGGGCGCTTGGTGTTCTACTTTAACTTTATGTTCTATTTTGTCTTTGTTGTCATGTTTACAGCTTTCTTAATCCGTTTCATGCAGAACGGTGATACAGGATTGGGAGATTCTTTTATGTATCCAATAGTATTTTTACTTTTTGGCGTCCGATTCATTAAGGAAGTTATTGCAATAGTTGTCCAGAGGCTTCATTATTTCACCACTTTAAGTAATCTCACTGAATGGATACTCTACAGTACGACGGGTTTCTTCATGTTTTCACTTTTCGCTTTCGATTTGACAATTCCGTTTGACGACCCTGAGAAGCGTCATAATCGTTATCCACAACTCATCTGGGTGTTGGGTGCCATTTCGATTTTCCTTTGCTATGCGAACCTAGTCTTGGTTCTTTGTCGGTTGAGTCTGGTTGGAATCTATGTCACCATGTTTATAGAGGTCACTAAGTCGGTTCTAAAAGTACTTCTAATCTTCTTTGTCTTTTTCTTTGGGTTCTCCATGGTGTTCTACATCCTCTTTAAATCAGAGGTAAGATGAAATAAGAGATAAGTGTGTATGTAAGTAATTTGCTTCTGTTTGTGATTTATGTGAGTTTTTTCCCTTTTTTATCATGCTCGTAATTTAAAACCCAAAGTAAAAATATTCCTCATTCTGTACCTTTTTGCGCCGTTTATTGACTCGCTCAATAGCAACAAGCTTGACAGATTTGGTTACAGTAATTAATTAAAATGTCACCGGATTTTGGGCTCAATATGGGTGCAGCAAATGCCTAATCGTACCTTTTCAGTGCGCTTTGACGACATATAAAGCTCGCTCGGTCTTGTCAAGGGTATCTTGGAATCATGACTCAACTAAAATCGCTTCATCTTCTAACGGAGCGCGCCAAAAAGGTACGATTAAGGATGATATAACGTTATAGTAAGCGAAATATGCAATAATGATAAACAATAAACAACTCCCAAGATCTGATTGTTAATTCTCCCCTCTAGCTGCTACACATTTCCTTTTAAATTAGTTAAGAGAATATGGTGTTAGATTAAGAAAAACAACTTTTGTGTGATAAGTTTATTCTCATTACCTGTTTGCTAGACAGTGTATGGATATTACACGGAGAAGTTACCTCTCCATCACCTCTGGGAGTTAAAGGGCTAAAGCGCTGAGAGTCTCTCGTATTTCCTCCACAGGAGGTGGTATTTAAACAACCGGGATTTTCTTTACTGAAGGTGGTAGTGATGACAATTGGAGAGGTTGACTTTGAAGACAGATTCATGCATTCCCAGAATATCACAAACAAGCCGACATCTTCTCAGACAGCTTCTTTCGTTTTCCTCGGCTTGTTCTTGATTTTAATGACAATTGTACTGATGAACCTGCTGGTATGCGTTAGGATAAGAAACTTTTCTGTAACTTTTAATAGTACTAGTTGGATGCATAATCAACCAACGTTCTATCACAAACGCAGTAGTCTTATTGGCTTCACTATTCTCTATCTATTTGACATATGGATCCCATCTTAACATGTGTCTATTCAGTGTGATATATTAACCATTTAGCCCCTAAGAGTGACGAGCATCTAATTTCTCCTTACAATATCCCCACTCAATCACACATTGATGTCATGAGAATGAAGGAAATAATCACCAACTAAAGAAACTCTTGATTGTTAGACAAATTCTCCTTGTCAGCACCTTAGTAAATGTACAGAGAACAGTATGGAGAATATGAATACTGATGTCAGAGTGTAGAGGGTTAAGCTGAATTATGCGCGCATTTTGTCTGCTTCTTACTTACGATGTATCGGTAGATATACATCCATAGATCACATCACCATTGACATTTTTTTTCTTTATCGTATAAAACAAACAGATTCCATGTTGGCATGGGTATGTTCAGGAACAGATCACAAAAGACCTCAAAATAAAGAAACAACGTCAGTGACACGCTCGGCTGCGCCTCATGTGCCATTTTTTGTCCTTACCACATTTTGACCTCATCTGTGATCTGTTACGGCTGAGCAGACGCTCGGCAACATAGAAACTTCCTGTGGAATACACCACAAATAACGTCTATTGTAGTTGAAACAAAAAATTGGAACACGGGACGCAACTGAGTATTTCACCGACTCAAAATTCGAATTATCAAGACGCTTCCATCTAATTTGCAGGACGTTGATCACGGTTGCATGTTTCACCTACAGGTGGGTCTTGCCGTGGGTGATATCGACGCAATTCGCCGCAATGCTGCGTTTAAAAGGATGGCTATGCAGGTCATGTATATCGTTAGGGTCGAAAACAGCTTCCCGAGGTGCATCTCGCGGCGTTTTCGCCATCCAGAAGTAAGTTTGCGGCCAAATCGTCGAACTCTGAGGAAAAGGTATGCCGTGATTGCCATTCTGATAAAAAATCACACGTAAATCTCAAAAATGTCAGAAAATTCTAAAAAGCAGCTTTACAACGACTCTGTCAATGTCTACTTCTCTTTAATATCTTTACCATTCATTATCCAGTCAACAGTTAACGAGAAAACTGATCAGTTAGAAGTTGTTATTTTGATCTAACACTACATTCTCGTCACTGATTGACAAGGAAATTTATAGCAACTTGAGGGGAGAAGTAACAATCACATCTTGGGAGTCAAATTAAGGGTTAAAATGTTCACTTCACAAAATTATTTCTTTGTCTTCGATATTCAGGTTGATGCTTCTTCTTGGAATGAAGACATCTTCGGGCTTGGACTTTACTCCTCGCGCCAAAGAAGAACCGTCCCCCGGTGTAGTTTTGGATTATACTGAGATTAAGAAAAAGCTTGACCTTACTGAGAAACGCGTCGAAACGTTGGTTGATACGATGGAGGCGCAAAACGCTCTGCTCAGAGAATTAGTAAAAAAGATTGATCCTGGGACCAAGATGAACGAGAAGAGCATGGAAATGGAAGGATCGACTGTGGAACACGAGCATGGGAGTACATCAGCTTCAGGAGAGAAGTGGATCCTTGACGACCAGCAGCCACATGCGATTAAAACACAACCACACTTGTATAATTGTGGAAAGATTACTAACGTTTAGTTATATTGAGCAGTGAAATACTATCCTATACTTGTACCAGTGTCAGGTGTGAACACAGCGTTTTCAATCACGCGGAGAGCGGCTATGCAGATGTATAGAAAGAAAGAAAGAAATATCTGCAACGTGGGTGCGAGTGTGCGCTGGTTTATCCAAATAAGAATGAGTATGGTGAGTTGTTATGACTGGTGATCAGTCCTACCCATTTGCGGGGTCGACGCAATGCCGGAACTAGAGTGTTCGAGAAGAATGGTTTCAGAAACAGAAAAATTCTCTTTCATATGTGAAACAAGATTCACTTCCATTTACGCGTTCTTTTCAAATTTCATGTCGCCGTAGATGGAAGTAATTGATGTTAATGATAATGCATGCGAACATTTTGGACATGTTTACATTTGCACCAATGTAGCACTATCAAACAGCCCCAAAGATTTATCGATTTCATAAATTCCAACTTTTACTCTCTCTCCCGATTTGCTTGATAAATTTAGGCGACAAATTTTAGAATTGGTCGCACAAAACAGAAGTATGGTTTCCTTGCACTAACTAGTAGGGGCTTGATTAATGCAGAATAATTATTGAAGCTTAAATCACTGTCATCTTTTCTCCTGCTACACGTCAACCTGTTCAATGGAAAAAAATCCTCCTAAAAATAAACGTTTTATTGTAAAGCGCATAAGAGCTTTAGAATAGGATTATTATTATTATTATTATCCATATTGAAAACACTTCCGTGAACCCTTTAATAAGCATCTTTGTTTACGTGTGAAAAGTGGACAAATTGAATAATCATGCCTAACTACAAGTTTAAAGATCACGTGATCTTCTGTTTTGAGAGCATTCAGCAAAATAATTGCATTTATTGGTACTAATCAGTCAGTTGGGGAATAAAAGTTTCGATCATCTTTGCTAAAGATGATCTTTGGCCTGTAAAATGGTATCTCGTTTGAATATGAAAACTTGAAATTTGCATATTGGTGAAATCTATTATGTTGCAAAAATTTGGTTGCGTTGAGTTTTCGAATCCAATTAACTTTGATTATTATTATTATTATTTCCGTGAGATCCACATATCCTGCACTTGTTACTGCGTGTTCTATATCTAAAAAACACTTTTTCCGAATCCGTTTAACTTTGATTATTCTCGTTTCCTTGTGTGCTCTATTTTTTCGTGATAGAGGACATTGAATCACCGATGACAAGTCGTCTGCCGCCTATGAATTCGAATTAATGTCTGTACTACGTTGATTGTCCGACTTAAGTATGGAAGCTTCTTTTGACCAGAAAATAAATGTTGTATACCTCGACGAAAGTCGCAGAACTCCTGTGCATTGTGCTGCTCTGGATGGTAAGCACGAACAGGTGGAAGAAAAAGTACGAGTCGCCTCTGGACTGGATGACCAAGATGAACAAGAAAGGACCCCGCTGCATCATGCGACCGAACACGGACACAGGTACCTTTGCCCGGTTTATCTCAAAGAGATTTATGGTTAAGTGTCATAATGTGAAACGTATGATTCCGAACAAATGCCACAGTTGGTGAAGCCAAACACAGTTTTCGTCCCCTTTGATTCTGATCAGCGAAAATAATACTTACTGTAAAATCTACAAGTTGCAGTGGATGCGTAGTTATTAACAAGAGGGTCTTGATGGGGTGTAGCTTTTACGGCTAACGCTTGAAAATACTGGCCAATCTATGGCTAACGGTTAATATCTTTCCAATGTGGTCGACCAATGGTTACCGCCATTGAGACCCTATTTATAGAATCAAACTGTAGAATTCTTAAAAAGTTTTGAATTTGAAGATTTTGAAAGAATGAATCATTGAAAAAGTGAAGTATAAGAATTGACACCAACTGAAGTAAATGAAAGGGCTACACTGGAAAAATAAAGTAAGTTCATTGCTTTCTGTTGTATGAGAAACGGCGGCCAAAGGGTTGACGCGCTGGGTTCTATCCTTGGCCTGGTTGTTGTGTTGTGTTCCAGTACAAGACACTTTCAACTCTCACAGCGCTAGGGGTCAAGGGGGGAGGGGGGGGTATCCCAGGATGGGCCATCATACCCTTCTAGGGATACAACCAATACTGGTTGCTCTATGCCACGGAACCTGCGATAGGTTTCGACTCTCTAGGCACCAAACATAAGAGCAGATTTTATCTTAATATTCTAAAGGGATAACTAATATTACAAGTTCCCTTCTTTCACGAGGAATTGAATCTTAGACCAGTAGTCTTGAATCCAGCATTGCAACTCTTCGGTTGCGTTCCCTCCTAGAAAGATAATTATAAGATTAAATATTGAACTCACACAAAGCGTGGATGTTTGAGTTTTCGTTTTCTACATGCATGTACTCTGTTACAATATGGCGCTAACTCTTCTTTCAAAAACAGAGAACACTGGACACCACTTATGAGTGCAGCAGACCTGGGCAAGGAACAGTCGTGCCAAGATATACTCACTGTTAATCCACAGACTGATGACGTGAACATGGATGGAGAAACAGCATTGCATATTGCGTGTAGGAGAGGACATGTGGGCGTTGTCAACCTGCTAATGGACCACGGGGCAAGTTTGAATGTTTGTAACAAAGATGGTGTAACGTGTTTTGAGGCAGCCGCCAAGGCAGGAAAGAGTGAAGTTGTGTTTGTAATGATAAAGCATAAAAGGTATGAACGGTTACCCCGGAGTGAACTGGTATCTACCATTTATACTCAAAGTTGTAATGGCAGGAAGTAGGAGACTCGACCTGCACGTGACGGCCGAAAAGCAAGAGTATAGAGAAGAGCATTACGAAATTTGGGCAGGCTGGGCGATGAAAACAACGGTCTCCCCTTTGTTTTGGCGCTACGATTAAGGCGTTTTCCTTGCTTTTAAGATAGCTAAAAATGGTAAAATAAATTTCCAAAACCAAGCCTTAGATGGAACTTAGTTTTAGTGCCATTCTTTCTTCTGGTTTCTTGTATCAATTGAAATTCTCGACTCTTTCTCAAAAAGCAGTCGTGATCATTATTCT